CACACAGTGAGAAACAGGTTAAATTAGTTACAGAGGAAACTTTTAACTGCTTTAAAGGAGAACTGCTGTTATTGCTCTCAAGCAGCACAGTAAAGCACATCAGACAGAGCTTAGTCTTCTATGCTTGCTGAGTCAAATGAGCCCATTTATTTGTACCAGCTATGCTTGTACAAACCTACTCAGGGTAGTGAGAGCTGCACAGCAGTATCTGAGACTGCTCACATCTTCAGAAATATGGCTAATGGTTACAAAGATACTGGAGAAGTAAAGAAAACCAGCATGACTTCAAGACAGCTAGAACTGGTGAAGTCAGAACATTACATATTCCAAAGTGAATTTGTTTTGGCTTATAAATACATAATAAATATAGATGACCACCAGAAGCTGCAGGGATCAAATAATTTTAGAGGATCCAAGAGGAAACCATGAGTTACTGAAAAGTAACTTAAAAAAAAAAATAAATATGAAGGAAGGGAGGAAGGAAAAGGAGACATTAATGTATGTTGAAACACCTCAGAACACAGACTGGTGAAGCTTTCTTCAACATATGCAGTTTAGAGGTTTCCTTAATGTAATGATCATCTGAGAAACAGAGGATACAAATATGCAATACAAATTGCCTTTCTACTCTGCCACTCTAAGCCTGATCTAGGGTGAGACTTTTTTCCCTCCCACTGCTAATGGCACATTTCAGAAACCTCTCACATACCAAATTTTTGATGGTTAAGGTAACTTTCACAATGCAAAAAAAAGATAGCATTTAAATTTCCACATACAAGCTTACTCAGGGAATGTGACTGGCAAACCTTTTACTTTATTTCACTGTTACACATTTTCTAAGACAAATTATATTCCATATAAAGTTAAGCTTGAAAAAATGTAGGATTCTAAAGGTAACTTTTATTTTCCAGAACTCTGTTGTGGTCGAAAGCATCCATTAAGGAAGGGGAGAAGGAAGATTTCATTAAAGTAAACTAACTTTGAAGGAAATATGTTTTGCCATCTGGCATTTAATTCACCTGTGTTTTGCTTCACTGCTGGGTTTTCTTTTGTTTGTTTTTGTTTGTTTTTTGTGTGGTGGGATTTTTATAGTAACTTAAATTTTAAATCTGTCAATCAAAGTAAAGGGCAATTACAAAAATCTGGTTTATCACTAGAACTTAAATGAAACCGAGATTTTTTTTAGCTGTAATTATCATCATTCTGTTCTGTGCCCTGTTGGTTTGCCTAATATTTCTGTTTTCGTTTTACTAATAAAGAGGAAGAAAAATTTCAGGGCCAGAACCTGGTCCTGCTAAATTTCAGGATTTAAATCAATGTGACATGGGAGGAAAAAAGCACACTTGCAGGGCAGCAAGTCTTACTGCATGTAAGAAATTATGCATGTGCATTGAACATTCACTTCAAAGCACTTCCAAAGAAAACACAGAATACCTGCCTATGGAAGAGATATTAAAGCAGTTCTGAATTGGTTTTGATTTTTTTTCTAGGATTCTTTTAATACCACACAAGAGACCTGAGTATCTCATATCAATAATTTCAGCTGGTAAAAAAACAGGTGAAAAGTTGCTTTACATCATAAAACACTTTTCTTTTTGATCTAATCAGTACACCATTATTAGCTGTTTGGTATGAAGTGCTTTCTTTTTTTTTTTTTCAATTCAAAAAGGTGTGTATTTTTTGTGGTATAATGGAAACTTTCCAGATGCCACCAATTAAAAAAAAAAACAAAACCCAACCTCAAAAGCCATGATATTTATGGAGACAAGAACTCTGCCAAGTGTGTGGCCACAGGGGATGCAGTCAGGCATTCCCCTGCTGGCAGAACACTGCTTTGTTTCCAAAGATCAAAGGCCCCTTTTAGTGAGACAGGACCTGTTAAGGTATAACTTTGCTAATAGCCTTCACAGGTAAAATGTTTTGCCTAATATTTAGGTTGTTCAATCCACTCTTTAAGAACCCTGGCTTGGAACATTGCAGGTGATGCCTGAAGTGCTGAGGGTAAATTGTGCCTATGATCTGAGCAGCAGGCATTTACGTGGAAGCTGAGGTCAAATATAGGCCAGGATGAGGGAAAAAAAAAATCCTAGCTTTTCATCCAAGCAGTGACCTACACACTCTTTACAGTGGTTTAGATGTGCTTGGGTGGCAGAGGAGTAAAGAGGGTAGCTGAGTGTTCACAGTTCACTCACTGATGGCTGTACTGCTGACCTGGAGGAGATGTGATTGCTGACGATGTCAGTGCCCACAGTATGGCAAAAGGGCACTCAGAATATGTCTGCACCAGGTAGGAATCGTACCTGAGCTAGCCAAAATATCAGTTGCCTTTGAGAAAGATGATAAGCCACAGAGAAGTCACTGCCTGTGCCAGCATGCACTTTGACACATTTTATTTGCCACAGCCTTCTCCTTCTCTCCATAGTTTTTGGTTGCAGAAGTGTCTTCCCAAGTGATCTGCAACTGGCAAACCTAATCTTAGAAAGTGCGAAGTATTCCCTATGTCCTTCTGACTGCATTCAGAAAAAAGATCATTTCCTCAGGACCATAGCTAAAGCTGCACATCATTAGAAACAGTGGATTTGCAACAAAGGATTGAAAAACTGAGTGAAGAGCAGTGTGACATGAAATGGTGAGTGTCCCTGTCCTGTGGGTCAGACAATTTACTTCCCAGCATTACCATGTTAATGTAAAGGCCCTAGTGAGTAAGGTGACTCTGTGTTAGTCCTGGATTTAACCCTCAGTATCGGCTGAACTTCTGCCTGATTCTGAGAATCACTTCTCACTTCTTCTACTGGTTCACTCCATACTTCCTCTAATTTCCAAAACATGCATTTTCTCCTTGAATGCTCTCTGATACCTGGTACACTAACTTTTTTTTCCTTGTGCTCTAGCTGGTATCTATTGTGTTGTAAAGTATTTGTCTTAATACCGAGACCTTCAGGGCAGCAAGACAATTCTGTTGCCAAGACATGTCAACCACCCTGTTTGGAGGATAACCAGCTCCCAGATGGAAAAGAAGATGTGCTTGTGTGTCAGGCACCAGCCAGCAATTCAGGGAAGTTATCTGTAATGCCTGATTCTCTAGCGTTCCCCTTGTGTTCTCCTTGCCAAATGCGACAGCTCCGCAACTTCAAAAGGGCAATGTTATTTATCTGCATCAAAGGTAGGAGAGGTGCAAAGAGGGACCAGGGGAGGAAGCAGAGATGAACTAACTTCTGTAGCATTTGAACACTCAGCTCAGGTTCTGAAACAGCCAGAAAATTTAAACAGCCAGCCATCTAAAAGGCAAAAAATGGCCTAGGACCAAGATGCTTAATAGAAATAGATGTAGCTGAGAGCTGTAAAATCTGTTTGATATGTGAAGAGCTGTGTAATTTGACTCCTTTCTCTAAAACAGGATTTACAAAATGTTGTGGAGAGACAAAAGGAATTATTTTGGTAACAATGACTTCCCAGTGCTGTAAGATATGTCTGACCTCTACTGATTTTATGGCAAGTGACATGGGGACTTTGAGTGATTCCTTTGCCCCATGTAAGCATAATGTAATTCACTCTGGCTTAAGTCAGTGATCTGAGGACACAGTGTATAAATCAAAAAATTTGTCTGAGACTGTCTTCCAGATGTTGATATGGGTGGGAAAGTGCATTAAAGCACCTCTCCATCAGATATTAAAGATGGCTAAATCCAGTATGACAAACTAAGTAGAAAAAGATAAATGTCACTCTGTGATAAAAACAGACACGAGTATCAAATATGATCTTTGTAAATATTATGGAAAATCAAAGTAATAGTTGCAAAAAAAGAACCAAACAGACCCTTTCTTTCATACCACAGGACAGGCTTCTTTTTCTGCAACTGTTGCATTATTGTATAGATATGAGACACTAATAATTGTAATGATGAATACATACAGATGGCTCTTACTTCCCTCTGAACTGTTACAAAGGGATCACCTAGAAAGTGTATTGATATATGTGCCATTAACAAACAGTAATCTCACTTATAATCAGGGGTAAGAATTCTCCTTCTAATTCCTGCAAATATTTAGGAAAACCAAATTATATTAGGTGATTGTTTTGAGTATTCCCCATTCTCAGTTTGTTCTGAAGCACATGCAAGGTACAGCAAATATGACAAATTCTTTCTGATTTCTGTCATACAAACTTGCTGTGAAAAAACTGAGCAGCAGTTGTGCTACAGCCATTATGCTCTAGGGATGCAAACCAGGAAAAAAGAACATAACTACAGTAGGTGGGGCACTAAAAAAAAAACCAAAAGAAAACAAAAGGAAAGAAAACCAACCCAACAACCAAACAAACAGAAGAACCACAACTGGTTTGAGACCTCATTATACAAATTAAAACAATAAAATAGCCCAAGATGGCTATACACAGGTACCTACTAGCTTGTATTTCGATTTTATACGTACTAGTGCTGACCACAAGACATTTTGATTTTATAAGATTTCTTTTGGAGATACCTGCTGGTTTGTGGAAGATCATCTCTGGAGTTGCCCTGTACACAGGCAAATCCCACTGCCTTCTTCTCACTAAGCATTAAGGAACTTAACTTTCAGGATCATATTTTGAAGATAATAGATAAGAGGTGCACATTCTTCTCTTGCTGTGTCCTACTTTTTGTTTGTAATATGTTCAAGTTTTGTTTGCTTCTCAGAGTGTGAGATTTTCAGCATGGACTGGATGACAAAAGAGGTGTATTCCTTCCTCTGCCAAAGAACTGCTGAATACTTAAGAAGTAGCATTTCCATATCCTTACACAAACTCTGTACAAACCAACCAAATTTTAGGACCTTAAGCTACCATCAGATTTCCCTGTGAGAATTAGTATTTTTAAAATACTGACTTGGAAATTAACTTCAGGCAAAAAACCCTTAATCTACACTTCCCCAGATATTTGTGCACACTTTCCAGGATATAGTAACAAGTCTTCTCTGCACCTAGAGAAGCTTATCCTCACTTGTGCAGAACGAGGCACTTACTTCCAATATCTGGCCGCAGCTTTTTGTCATACTCTCTCAACAGCTTGTTTAGTATGAGAGTCACATCTGTGTCTTGTGTTTTTGGAGCTAAAACCCATTTTTGGTTAGTTGTTCCATCTTCATATTCATCCTCTTCAACCTTTCTAGAACTGCAAAACAAATGAAAAAAATAAATATTATTTTACATGACTAAAATTGGAAGCAACAGGGTGCAGCAGGGTGCAACAGGTGCAACAGGATTTTCCCATTAACAATTGTTGAGCGTCTGTGGATAGGTCATGACTGACAGTTGTTTAGAAATTGTCTTCTGGAAGTGTCTTCAAAAAGTTACACTCTAGGAGATAATACAGCTACCAGAGTAGTATTTTATACCCTGTATTTTAATGAACCTATTCTGACTAGTTTACAATATGCCTTTACAAAGAGCGAAGATCTGCAGTATTACTTTATTAATACATCAAGACAACTGATTCATCTCTTGCACAAAGGCTAATAAGAGTATTAAAAATTCAGATCTGTTAATGCTTCCTGATCATTTTATCCTATTAATAAATTATTATATTCTCTGTGCCCGAATTCCAGAGTTCAATGTATTACAAGGCTTAGAATTAAGAGCTCACCCCTTGAATTTGAGATGGATTATCACAAGCACACAAATACATTGCATAAATAAATCTGAATTTTTCTGCAGCTTCACTAACTTTTTTTAAAAACAGCACTACTCCAAGAGTTGTAACTTTATTCCTTTATAGGTGAATGATGTTTATTTTAAGGGTATATTAATGCAAATGGGGTGAAACTGCAGTTTGACCAGAAATCACAGCTAGAGCTATTTTCACACAAGACTAATTCCATTTGTGTGGCTTTTTGTGCACGGACTTTAAAATGTTGATTTGAAGATGTATTTTTTGGTATCTTAGAAACCAAATCCGTTTGATGCCTCTCACTGGAGAAAATCTATGACAGACTGAGATGAAGTTATCAGGAGAAAAGATGACCTCAGTGGTGGAACCTATGGAAGGAATCACATCTTTTTTCAACCTGCAATTGCCATGGGGATATGATATAATTTTGCAACATTTTTACATAATTGTGAATAATTATGTGAGGTGCAAAGCAGTGGAGAAGGAGAGGCATCAACCTTGTTTGTTCAGGGGATGTGTTACACACATCACTGCAACTTTCTTTCTCTCCCTCTCCTTTTCTCCATAATGACTAGTGTCTTTTAAAATACCTCAGACGTCCAGAAGACTTGATAAACACTGTATGTGAACACAAAAAACACCTGACACAAATATAAAAGTTTAATCACAGAGCATCATCAACCCTCACATTGCTTGAAGACCACTATTTGAGAATTTAATGAATCTTTAAACTGAAACTGCTCTACCGCCAATATGCCCCTGAGGATTAACCATGAATCACTTAACACGACCTCACAATTTTCAACTGCTCTAGGCGCAGTTTCTATATAAAAATAATTTTTAAACTTAGATCCTGAGGATTTTCTGCAGGGAGATCGTATAACTGAGTTGTAAAAGTAGAGAAAACTTAAGACAAAATTTTGAATAGACAACCACTATTTCTCTGTTATTGGGCTGTATTCTCTAAAAAGTTTACTTTTTTTTTCTTTTTATAATTCACTCAATGAGCATTAAAACACTCAAGTGGATTTTGGGAGAATTCTTTTTTTTCCCATCAGATTCATGACCGTCCCTGTGTTTTAATACTGCTGTTACAGAGCCATTCTCCGAGGAGGCATCATCTCTGAACATACATGGTTAATATTTCCGAGCTGAAACTCTGCAGTGGTGCTGAATTGCTAATAGCAAAGAGGGACAAATCATACGTCTTTTTCTGCTGCAGCCAGCATAACTTTACCACAGGCATTCAGACTGCACCTGGAAATGAGAACGGAGTTCAGGTAGTATCACAATTGCCATTTCAGGGAGATGCTCTTTAAGACAAGTCCCTAACAAGAGTCTAGCTAAGCACTGGCAGACCTTTTAGCACCTCCCTCTAGCAGCTTCTTTCCTAGAAAGTACCTCCAAACAGTTTAAATCCCTACATATCTTCTAGATTAAGATTGGAGATGGGAGAGGTTTCACAGTGGACCAGATACTAGACACATATTTTTCAAGCTTTTTTGCTTTCTTCCCTAAGAAGTTATTATTTCCCTTCCATTGCTTGCCTCTGGTTAGGCTCCTTCAGGGGCACTTGAGGTTACATTTTTCTTTTGTAGCCCTACTGGTGACTGCCAATTCCTATCATATTCCTGCCATCTAGAGAAATAACTACAGACTGATGGCAAACCAGTCTCAAGCTGGGAAGGAAGAAAGGCTATATGCCTTTCCCCAACTCTTTGTCAGTTTTGATTCTGTAAGGAGACAGAGACTATGCATAAATTGCAAGGGAGGAAGTCTAGAAGACTCTGAGGCGTTGTCAGGAAAGTGTTTATTTCCTGCAAAAGGTGTGCCCCACACTTGCTGTGGAGGCTGGCATGAAGCATCGTCTAGTTCCTGTGGGGATTTAGGAGATAGACACCACTCAGGTGTGGGGCAGGCTGCCACAGAGGGGAGGGGGAGGCCTCTGAGCGTGCCTGTAGTCTGGTTTGTGATGGTTCCTGCAGGGGGGAGCTGAGCTGACCCCTTTGCCTGGGTTATCCTGTGGGGGTGTACAACAGCTCCGGACAACCGAAAGGACCAAAGTCCAAAAGGTCAGGGCTGCCGCTGCCGGCTGTGCCCCCCTGGTCTAACAGTGGATACCGGTTCCCCACCGGGAAGACCCTTCCCGGCTCTGAGGCGGGGACCAGGGGATCGCGCACCCCGCCACTCGCCTTCTCGCTCCTCACTCCGGTTTCTCCCGTGGATGCCCCGGGGGTGGCGTGGAGGGAAGCCAGGGCCGAGAGGGGAGGGAGCCCGGGTAGCCCCAGCCGCCGTCTCACCGGGCGCCGAGAGCCGCCCGAGGGGAAACTTTCTACCTGGCCGGCCCAGGACGGGGCTCCGAGCTGGGCCGGGAAGGGACAGCGGCGGTGCCACCGCCCCGGGAGCACCGCGGAGCCAGGCGGGTCTCGGGATGGGAGCGGGGTAAGCCGTGTTTGGGAACAGAGCCCCGGCACGGCGCGAAGAAGGTGGGAAGAGGCCACTGTTCTTCCTGGGTGCCGAATATTGTGCAAACTCCAGCAAATGGGACTTCAGCCCTCCAGCCCCAGTGCAGAGAGGAGAGGGGCGGAGGGAGGAGAGGGGAGCGCAGACTTACCAAGCGTGGAACACTGAGAGGAGGAAGAAAACCGGCAGGAGCTTAGCGGACATGGTCCGGACAGCGCTGGCCAGGTGAGAGGAGCGGCAGGATGAAGGAAACGTTGCAGAATATTCACATGGAAGGGAGAATGAGGCAGTGAGGTAAAGGTCTGAGCCTCTCCTCCTCTGTATTCTCAGCTTAATACCCTGAAGAAAACACTCTCTTCCACAACGCTCCGAGAAGGGAGGGGGGAGGCGAAAGGGAAAAGAAAAAAAAAAAAAGCAGAAGAAGTGGAACGAGAGGGAAATCCCCAGCGGAGAGGCTGCCGAGGCCAGGTATAAATCACGCTCCGCGGGCTGACAGGTGTTCAGCGGGCACGGAGCTGCGGCTCGTCCCTTTTGCCGGCAGCCAGTTGCCGGGCGCAGCGGCGCGGGCGCTCCCGCTGCCCGGGCCGGCGCTGGCCGTGCCCCCCGGGCGCTGCAGAGCGCGGAGCAGCCCGGGCCCCGCCGGGCCGCGGGTGCCGCGGGGCGGGCCGGACCGGGCCGGGAGGGGGGCGGGCTGGGGCGGGGGGATGGGGCGCACCTTGCCCCCCCCGCGGAGCTCCTGCCCGCAGCCAGCCCCGCAGAGCGGCACCGGAGCGCTGCCGGGGACCGCCCCGCATCGGAGAGCACCTCGTCCCCGCACCCTGCCCAACAGGTTCCCGCCTCGCCGGCAACTGGAGGAGCCGTGAAATGAACCCTGCCCCCGCCCCAGCGGGCGCACACACACGCATACAGGAGAGGGGGAGCAGCAAACCCGGCAGCCGCAGTAGGCAGGCAGCCGGGACCTCTCCCCAGCATCACCAGCCCGATGGCCCAGACAGGGAGCCCGGTGGAAGGATCCCCCCGCTGTTTTCCGGGATGCCCGAACCCCCGAACGCCACAATCACTTGCCGAAAGCCCCCCCAGCGCCCGGGGCTGGAGGTGCTCTCTTCAGACGGAGAGAGAGGGGTCGGGTGCTGGTCTCGGGGTGATCGGAGCGACGGGCATCCCGATGTACACACAGGCGCAGATCCATGTAATCGGTGCGGCTGCTTACACGGACAGACAGACAAACGCAAGGCAGTGTTTCTGTATGCCTCTGTATCTAGGTGGATGTATGCAGAAGTTTGCATGCACTGTACGAATGCATGGATACACATTTATACGCACAAGGTATGCCAGAAAAGTGTATACACGGGGAGAGGAGATCTACACGATCCTGTAGACCAGGTTACATGAACTAACGTGTATATTGTGAACTTTGGAGTAAATTAGGTTTTTCTGCTGTGAGTCTCGGAAATGAGACAACAGTCAAGTGTATTCAGAGCAAAAATAGTTTGGGTTTGGACAACTTTTGTCTTTCTACTCCACAAGTAACAGCACAGATGTGATTTTTAGCCACTTCGATTCTCTTCAGGTGTGTGGAGCTTTGCACCACGCATCAGGGTAATTGGAATATTCCCCTTTGTTTTCAGAATGGGAAGTGACAAAATTTCACTTACGTAATGGTAATTTGGAAACAAAAAACTCTGCCCAGAGGGACAGCGAGTCACCGCTTTCCTGTGATCAGAAATCTCGGGAGTGGAAATCTCTGATCTCCTATTTCCCCCTTAGACACAGCTTCCGTGTTCTGGGGGAGTCGTTTTTAATTGTTTAATTAAAAAAAAAAAAAAAGCTGGAAGATGCAATCTTGCTTTTAGAATAACTCCTACATGATGCCTAGAAGAGCTGGCTATAGGGAGTTCTGTTCCAGAAGTTAATTTTTGAAGGAATGACCCAGCTTAAGGAAAATCTGTCGTGAGTCAGGCAATTAACTCTCAGTTATTCACTTTAGGGGTTTTCTTTCAACCTTTCGGGTTTTGTTAGGTTTTTGTTTTTATTTCCAACCTAAACGCCTCTTTACTAGATTATACGGCAGTTCTGTCGTGTTTACTTTGGCTAATTGCAGTTACCGTGAATTGCTAGCAATCATTTGTTACAAGGCTTGCGCTCTTTTCTTCCACCAGCAGAGAAATGCGGGTGGCAGCCAGGCCGCCTGCTGCCCTGAGAAAATGAGAAAGGTGATGGACGGCGACTGCTCGGGGGTTGCCTGGGTTTCACCAGGAATCGCTATGCTGACGGCCAAGCAGCACGCTGATGGGCTGGTGTGAAGTTTGCGGGAACACGGGCGCTGTGGGACGGGGCGAACAGGGGATCAGCCGCCTCTCAGCGACCCGACGAAGTCCGGCCGGTGGGTCCCGGCGGCACGGGGCTCCGGCACCGCCGCACGGCCACGGTCCGCAGGAACTCCAAGGTTTCCCGAAGGCTGCTGCTTGTGCAAACATCATTCCGGGCTCGCAGGTCGCGGTTCCCACGTCCCGGCTGGCAGCGCCCGCGCGTTTGGAAAGCAAGGACGGGAAGCGCCCGCCACGCAAGGAGGGGTTTCCCTTGCGCTGGCCATATAGAAAAATGTGTGTCTTCACACACGCACTCAATCTGAATAAATAAAAGCTTAGCCCGGCCCCGGCACCCCCGCCGGGGAGCCCAGCAGCGAACAGCTTGGGCGGAGCTGCAGCATCGGAGGAGCTGCGGCGGCCCGGGCCGGGGGCTCGCTTTGCCGCCAGCTGGGGGCCGCTGCACCTCTGCCACCTCCCGGGAAGGCAGCACGAGTGAGACAGAGAGTAGGCGGCAGAAAGACCCGGAGGAGACACACCCCGGCGGCGATTTCCGAGGAGAAATGGCGAGGGCAGGTCCAGCTGCGCGTCCCCGCTCTCGGCGGCCCTGCTCCGCGGGGACACCCGGGCGGGAGCGGAGGGAACCGGGGTGGCTTCCCCGCCTCGGCGGCTCCGCCGGGCGCCGCTCCGCCTCTTCCCCGCCCGCCAGCCCCATCCCGCCCTCACCGCATCCTGCCGCGGTGGCGGGATCCTCTGGCGGCGGCGGAGGGAAGCGCCAGGGATCCGGCCGGGTCCCCACCCCGCGCCGCCTCCAGCCGGCGGCAGAGCGCTCCGTCACCCCTGAGCCGTGACCGGAGCTTTTGGTGGCCATCGAGTCACTCAGACCTCGAGAAAGACCCTCAGAGTGACCCCTCTTTCCTTGCAGAGCGTCAGAAATCCCCAAGGCTCGATGGGAGCAACATGGTTCATTGATTATTGAGTCCTTGTCCTCAGGCTGTAAGAAAAAGGCGATATTTAAGGCTTTCTTTCTGTCGTCCTCGGTGAGCTACATGTTAATGGCAAAGGGATACTTTATTACCACTTTTCATTACACCTCATGGCTCGGTCATTTCTGCTCCTTCTCTTCACATGCTTTTATTTTACTTTTAAGCACACTCTGCCTTTGCTGAGCCTTTCAAATTGTATATTCAGGTAAGGGTCATGACTATCCAGCACAGGTTTTAACAAAAGAAGATTTTATCATGCCATATAATGATAGTAAAATGTTTATATTCTCAGTAATAACAAACAACTCTCCAGCACAACAAAATGCATCCACATTTTAACTTACCATTTTCACAGAAGATGACTGTCCCTCAGCCTGAGGGATACCTCTGTGGTATGTCTTGTGCAGTAGGGAAGTATGAGTCTCTGAAAGTAGCTTGGCAGGGAGCTAGTTAGCATAAATAAGGGGGGAAATGCTGAGGAAGGGAATGGGACTCACGTATCAAATTCCTCCCTTGCTAGAACTGGGAGCCCCGTCTCAAGCACTGAACAGTTTGGGCACCTGAACTTTTCTGAGATTCAGTGTTGAAGGAGAGTCCTACAGGTGGTTTTCCTGGCACTCCAGTGCTACCTATATACCATGAGAGGCACAGAAGGAAACTGGGGCTGCTCTGAGGCAAAGAAGGAAGGACCTGAAACCCATCTCCTACAGCTCCTGGATTCCTCCAGCTGAAGACTTATTAGAGATTTCAAAGAGGCTTGAGCCAGTTTATTCTGACTGAAGGTCTCTTGCTCCTGCTGGAGCCTTTGGGTAGGAAGTTGAACCTCAGAACTTTCTGTGTGCTCTCAGTTCTGTCCTTCAGCACAGGGCTCTCTGCTCTCTGGCTCATGGGAAGGACAGGGAGAATCCCCCCTGATGCTGCCATGCTGAAGCTTTTCAGCAGCTTTGTGTAGACGTTTGGCAGAAGCATGGGCATCTCAGGTGGGCAGGGCTGGCTGCTCCTTGGGGGCCAGACCACCCCTGAGCAGTTGTCCTGAGAACATCAAAAACACCAGTCCCCTGTGAATGAAGAGCTGAGCCCAGATCTACTGAGGCCAAAACAGCCTTGGGTGGCTGGTTCCAACATTTATTATCATATATGTGTTAAGTTATAATGGGGGGGTCACTCTCTGTGTAGTTATTTTCCTACCTACAAATCCAGCCTATCCTACTGTTGGTCCAGTCCATTGCAATCTATCAGGAATTCTCAAAAATTCTCCAAATCCATCTAACTGAAATCAGTTGGTATCTTCAATCAATATTCTTACTTTCTACTTTGCTTTTAGCCAGGGACTAATTTCAGCAGCAACTTTTAAGACATTATGAGAGTGAGAAGTGATAATTGCTATTGAGGATGGCACTGAAAAGGAAATTACATTGCATTACAGAATGGGCCACTTGCACTTGAGTCTAAATTAGGGGTAATCCTTGGAAGATACTTCAGAAGTCCTTTGGGCTTCGTAAAATCTAACTTCCAATCTTTCCATCTTCTCAAAATTGAACAAATGTCTATAAAAAATAGTGGAAGATGCAAAATTGATAAAATGAGGATGTCATCTGAGAGTCACCATGCAATGACAAAACTTAAGTATTTGTACTAACATAAAAACATATAAAAGGTCAGAAAGGATTCAAGAAATTTTGTCATTTCAGTGTCAATTCCAATCTGAGAAGCAAGAGTATTAGGGGAAATACATTCTTATTACATAGAACTTTATCTCCAGATTTAAAAAAATCTGCAAGTGCTATATTCATCTTCTCTGCATAAAATGAAGAGCAAAGCAGTTTCATTCATTTTTCTTCAAAGTTTAACTTAGATGTTGAGTAAGAATTTTTGAAAGACAAGACTATTTCATAAAATAATTTTTTCCTCAGTTTTTTATAAATATGTTCAGTTATTCCACAGAGGGCAGAATCCATTTAGAAAAAGGCAGAACACAACTCAAGATAACAGAAGAGGGTTCAGCTTTAGAAAATACATTGTTGCTGAAATTCATCATTGAAGTAAGCTGGCACAGCTCAAATATCAGAAATTAAAAATCTCTGCCTTTGTATTTGACTTTTTCTTTCATTCTTAATGGGTGCAAGGAAGGAAATTTGGCAGCAGCCTGCACACACCTCCTCTACAGTGCTGAATTGTTCTAATTCACTTTTCAACTCTTTTTTTATGAAAGCATACATGAAAAACCTCAATGAGAAACAATTCCTATTTATTACTTGGCCCTTTGGCCACGACGTAGCTGTGTCCTGCAGGGTCCTAGTTCACCCCTGCTGGGGACAGTGACACGGCTCACTCCATTCCTGAATGCCCAAGCTGCTTCTAGGGGGTACCAGAGGAGGCTGATCCACATCCAGATACCACTCCAGGCTGGGGCAGGACAAGGCCAAGGTGTTTTGACTGAGTCAGGACCTGAAGAATGCTCCCGTCTCCCATAGTTCAGATACCAGCTCAGTGGGCAGTGATGTCCACTGACAGTGAAGAGATTTAAATTGTGAGGTAGTATAGAAAGTGAAGTATTGAAGTATTCCAGCCTGGAGTATACTGGCTTATTGAAGTACTTTCCAACCTATGGAACACTTAGTGTTCATGCACAAGCACATGCTGCAGGTATGACACATATTTGTTGAATATGACTCTCCACCTAAGTAAAATAGATCAGATTTAGAGACCCTTTGTCTGAGTCTTGCAGTAGAGACCAGGAAATAATGTTGTAATACAGAGTAAGAGTCAGACTTGGGTGTAAGCAAATAAAGTACAGAAACTCTCAGGGGCAGCCTCCAGAACAGGCCTGGAGAAGATGCTACTCAAAGATGGCTCTGAGTTTCTCATTCACAAAACTCAGTCATGTAATTCTTCAAGTTTCTCACCTGAAGAAATAGCTAAGGGACTTTTATAAAGTTTTGCCTTCCAATATGCACTGCAATTTTTCATGGTTTTTGATCCCTGCAGGGCCAAAGGGATCCCCCAAAGGGATGATGAACAAGGAGGTGCGTGGCTGCTCAAAGACACACAAGCAGGCTACATGGAAACAGCTCCACATCCTCACCTCAGCTCAAGCTAGCACTCAACAGATGGGTGTACCCTCCCTTGCTCCTGTTTATCAGCATCCAGTCACTTGCTCAGTCCCATGGCTTTGCTATTGCCTCCAAGAATTTATGAATTTTTCATTCCACAGCATTAAACAAAAAGCTTCAAAAAACAATTGACGTATGAGATTTTTTTCTTGGTAATTTTTAGGAATGAAAGGGTTGAGGAAAAGACACAAAAGAAGCCAGACAACTCCCCAGTCCCAGACCAGACTCTCACCTAAAGCATGAACTCTCCACTCTGTCCCCAAAAGATCATGGGATTGTTGCTCCATAGCAAGACAGCACCTAATTCTGCAACAACTGGATTCACTGTGTTCACTCAAGACATGTCCCTTTCTGGGCAACAGGGAGGATATGTCATGTGTGCACATGTGATTGAGTGTGTGCATGTGTGCTTTCCAGTTAATCCTTCAGCTTCTCTGGTGTGCTCTTTGGTCTTTGTAAAAGGATAACCAGTATAAGAATGACATTTTGCAATCAAATGTTGAATGCATTTTTTATTTAAACATTAAGATTTAATTACAAAAGCTTCTGGAACAATTAAAGGATGCCAAGGAGGAAAGAGCTGAAAACTCAGACTGCATTTTCTCATTCATTGTGAAAGCAAAACACATTGTCAGCAGCAAGGCGTTTTATAGAAAAGTTTCAGATGGACAGTACAAAGACCTTTCTATCAATATTGTCACTGAAACACCTTGCTGTCATGAAGCACATATTTTTTTCTGATCACACTTCCTAGTGCTGGCTGATTGGTTTTTGCAGTGGGAAACAAGTAATAATTATTGAAGAATTACTGTAATTCTTTTCTGCTAATTTCTGCTAATATAACACAGTCGTCTTGGAAAAATGTCCAAACATAATTTCCCTTACCCTGATAAAAATGTCTACTGCTGTTGTTAGAAGTTTTATTTGCACAAGTATGTTCCTAATCTATGTTAATTTCATGCAATGTAATTCTTAATTTTTGGAATAAATACTGAGAATCATTAGAGAGAATTCCTTGGAATGCAAAATCCAAACAAACTTCGTATTTTCATTTAAGGGCAAGATTCTGCCAATCTTTATTTACATAAGTAGCATCCTGCTCCCTATATTATTTCACTGCAAACTAGAGTCTAAAGCAGTGAAAATCATCATAGTCCCATTAGGATTTACTGCATTGTATTAAACTTCCAATGAAAATTGGGCTGAGCAGTTTTGTCCATGGAGTAATGCACTACCTGTAACTAGTAAAGGTGCTCAAACATAGCCCTACATTTAATAATTTGGCACATTTACAACTGGCGTTACTCAGTAACTTATCAGATGACAATAGTGGAGCTCTTCTGTAAAATATAGGTTAAGCCCATATTTGTATGACTGTACATCTGAAGTATAAAAACCACGATATGTAGTACACTTGAACAGTTAAAAAATATAACTTATTTTATTTGTAAACTATCAATGCAAGATACTCAGCAGCAAAGAAGCCATGTTCAATGTCTTCTGATCTTTTATAAAGATCTGTTGCTGTAAGTAATATAATTGTCTCCAAAACATCTGAGGTTACATGTAGAAACAATCAAGGCAATATTATTTGTACATATTATTAAACATGCAAAAAAACTTCCTGAAGAATATTGCCCAAACGTAGAAAGTCATCTGGATCTCAAATTTTCCTTGGTAGCATCTGCTTCGCAAGTATGGCTCACATGTGGCTCCAGAGTACTTCAGTTTATTTTGGAGAATTGGCACCTTTAATAACAGGCTCCCTATTCAAATACGTGGCCCAGTAAACTAAGTTAAAAGTTCCAAACAGCACTGGAAAAATTATCCTGGACATTTTGTCAATCTTACTGATGCTGTTGTAAGTCTTTTTGCTTTCAGCAGGCTTTTCTTCTGCAGGCTTCACTGGAGCAGATGTAGTGTTTGAGATGACAGATGGGGTTGAGTCCTTTGGCATGTTTGGTGCAGGAGTCATCTTCCCGGTGCTGTAAGTATTAGTTGGTTTATTTCCCAGCAAGTTGCGCTCTTTTTTCTGCAGCATGAAGAACAAAATGTTACACTGTTGCTAGAGGACATGGAATTATTCACATTACTACCTTCAGTGTTAGAACAAAAACTCGTGACTTTATTACTTAACTCCAGTATTTATAGATTTTTGACAATGACCAGGTATTGGATAATTAAGTTACCACCTTCCCAAGCACACTGATCATGCGAAACGTCCATCGAAAGGCATTTCTTAGAAGGAATGTATAAACATCTATGTTTACAGATACTTTCCTGAGAAGGTAGCTACAACTATGAAAAACAAGATCAGAAGGCTTAATTTCAGGGTGACATTACACCACAGGAAGCGGAAACATGTTCTCAGGATACTGACCCAAAAAGCTGAGCACCATAATCAAGCTCGCCTGTTAATGCCTGTCAGCTATTCTGACTTTGACTATTAAACAGATGTTTCTGCCTTGATTTTGTAGCCCTTACTCAGGTGCAACTTTCCCTGATGGGAGGAAGCTGACTGGCTGGACCCACATCCCACCTGGCATGTGCATTAGCAGCTTCTTTTGTCAGTGAGATGTGGTCCTGCGTCTGAGGAGGGTGCTGCCCCAGCGACAGCTGACAAGATGTGAACCTCATTTCCCCAGCTGCTGCAAAGAGGTGGGGAAGGGCTCATTGCCCCTACCAGCTTGGTCTCTTTGTAGGCTCTTTTGGGATGCTTGTGCGTATGAGCTCTCTAGGAGACGATTTATTGAGTCAGTCCTGCCCCAAAAGTTTTGTTTCAGCATGAAACTCAGAAGTTTGTTTTTTCATAGAACCAGTCTTTTGTTCTTTTTTTTTTACTCTGGTGAGACCCTGACTCATGGAGCTCAGTGTGAGCTTTGTTATTTATTTAGGAGAGCATACAGGGAGTGCTCTGCAGAGATATGTTTCATGGTGTAAATCTGCTATAATCAGAAGTCTGATCACTGAAATTCCATGCTCTGTGTACACAATGCCCAATGTGCTTCTGTAAACAGTCCTCTTCATACAGATGCTAGAGACTGGCAGTCTATCTCTGTGAAGGGAAGGTACCATACTTCCTTGCAAATTTTCCTCTACAGGAAGGTAAAAGTATATCATGAGGTAATTAAATACCTCTTTCACGAAGAAGCTGAAAATTGACCGTTCAGTTATTTAAGCTATACTGCATACCTGCTTTTTACTTCAGCTATTTAAAAATATAGGTTAAGCACCTTGATTTTTGCAGCTTCCTGGGCTTTTTTGCCATCCCATGCCCAGCTCCTCTTGGTGAAATAGTTGACTGTTGCAAATTCAATCAATGCTGAAAATACAAAGGCGTAGCAAACAGCTATAAACCAGTCCATTGCAGTAGCGTAGGCCACTTTTGGCAAAGAGTTACGGGCACTGATACTTAAGGTGGTCATGGTGAGGACTGTTGTTACTCCTGCAAAGAAAAAAGACAGTCAGAGATCAGTTTGCTGATGGGATCCCAAATGAGTGATGAGCAGGTCCCACCTCAGCAGGACACCTAAGGAGGCCACATGAAGTCAATCAGTGTTTGCATATCACGGTTTGAAAGAATGAGAAAAAATGAAAGCCTCCACCCTCAGATGTTCTATTCTATGGAGTTCTGGCTAGTTCTAGCTGTAGTGTATTTAAATAAGGATTTTTAGGGTAACACAAGCCCAGAGTTTATAACTGTCAGAATGAAGTGGGATTACTTATGGTGTTTTCTTATACAGAGATTGCATGTTTAAAATTGTTGACTGTTACTGGCTTCCTTGACTGCAGCCCCTCCTTTCCCATATGCCAGTAAATGACAAAGCAGCCACTGCTTTCATCTGTGGGAAGATTTCCCCAAGACCAAAATGTTCAACTCTTCAGTTACAGCTTTGTAAACCTAGAAGCAGTCAGCAAAGTGATGCTACTACCTGTATTCTCTCCATATAACTTGCTGAGCTGATTTTTGAATAACTTCAGGAGGCTGGTACAGAAGAGTGACTCCTTTAAAGTAGCTGAACAAAGTTTTACTTAATAAACTGTTCCCACTCCCCCTCTTTTTCATCTAGTAAAGATCTTGTGTTTCATCAACCTTCATTTGAGAAAGTGCTTATTTTCTGCAATCTTCTAGGGATAAACCAAGTAATTTAATGACACTCCAAAGATTTTTTTCAATAACAATTTCTCCAGTAAATATACATTTTCTAAATGCAAAGTCATATTAATTTGATTGCAATAGAGATAATTGTCACTAATTAACCTCTACATGGTTTTCCCAGATCAACATCCTACAATAAAGATAAACAACTGTCTTGAAGTGGCATTTGCTTCAAATGTTTAGCTAGGTTATACATTAAATATGATAACCTGTATGTCTTTTTTTCTAAACCATCTACCAGTATCTACCCAAGTGGAAAAACCCCAACACAAATCATACTAATCTGACTCTTCTATCTTCTGTCCTTAATTTTCCTTAGTAATTGATTGACCAGTTTCTGTCATAACTTAACAAAAACAGCCCAGACAGAGCTTTTAAATTGATTTTGAGTTTAAACTGGAAGAGAATGTGAAAACATTTACAACACCTCAAGCAGAAGTAAACAGTAGTGAACTGTGGTTTTGTTACAGCAAATCACTTCCACAAGCCACAAAGATCCTGTGTTCTAGGAGAAAGTGGGATACTCACCAAAGACAGTTCTAGCTGGGACAGATTCTCTGTTTAGCCAAAACGACACTTGTGATAAGATCACAGTCATAATACAAGGAAGGTATGTTTGAATGACAAAATATCCAATTTTTCTTTTCAGATGAAAATGGGCTGTCATGATAGTATATTCACCTAGAAGAAGAAAAATGTGCAGTTGAGTAAAATAAGGAAGGCTTACTGATTTAGGGACTGAACAAGGCCAATTCCAACCCGCCATATAAGGATACCACTCTGACATTCTTAATTTAATGAAAAATATCTGGATTTCTGCACTGTGGAAAACCAAGACTTGAGACAGAGGTGCTGCTACATCCTCACAGTCTCCCCATTCAGTCTCCAAAGCAGAAGACAATGACTGCTATTCCTACTACCCTGAAAAGCTGCAGTCCTCCTATGCACCTGGAATGTTGTGACGTTCAAAGGCTTAAAAATGCTGGCACTGCCTCAACACTGTCTGGTTTTGACTCAGTCCTGCAAACTCTTGTAGCATAGTAACAATTAAGGCCCTCGACTCTTAGAAACCTGATTTAGCAGGTTAACCTCATTAGGGAACTGTTATGACCAAGCCATCAGTTTTCAAGAATGAAAATGGGTCCATCTCCATCTGCTCCACATTTTAGGGATTGCAAGTCCCAGCATCTTCTGCAGGAATTGACTTTGCATATGGATCCTGGGATGTCTTATTAATCTGAGTACCCAAACTCAAAAAAAAAAAAAATAGTCCCTCTAATGTATGCAGTGTTCCTAGAATTTGGTACACTTCAGCCCTTCAAAAGATTATCTGTTTCTGGATAGATATTGTATTCTTTTTTGTTCACCTGTGCAATGAATATTGTACTGCCTGCATGCAGAGTTCCCTAAAAGCTGCCACAGCAGTGCTAAATTCCATTTCTTTTTCATATGCCAAATTCACAGCATTGCCTTAATATGCCATTTATCGGCTCCTTTGAATTTCAATAAAAGCCAAAATAAATGCACTCAAGAATCGAAGACCAGCTGTCACCTTCCCTAATGTTTCAGAAAAAAATCAAACCATAACCAGTTCTTTCAGATTGTTCCTGGAAAACCATATTGTTGTTACTGAGGGCTATTTTTGGTGGTAACTGCTCCCTGGTTCTTTCAGAGTATTTCTGGAAAAACATGTAGTTGTTACTAAAGGTTTTCCATAATGGTAACTGCTCCCCAAATCCAAAATCTTGTTGCTAAAAGCATGTTACTATTTGCCTAGGAATAATAACAGTAAAATAGAATGTAATAATAAAAAGCAATCCATCCCTTAAAGCCCTAACACTTCTTCACTGATATCAAAGTAATTTAAAGCATGCATCATTCAGTTGGGTACTGATGAATCAGAGTAATGCCTGTTTTGGAATATATATCGTCCTTCAAGAACAGCTATAGCTATAATCTCTGTTGCAAGATTTGACTGTTAGTGTCTACAGAACACCCACAAAAGGAAAATATCCAACAGGCTGATTCTGCCTTGAGTGAATAGCCTGAGTTGAGCTGTGGCCAGCATTACTGAGTATTAAATTTGTCAGATTGCTTCTAACTGACAATATGGATAATTAGCAGAGAACAGATTTACAGTGAAAGGGTTTTTGCAGGTATAGCTGCACTCATACACTATGCTTCAGGAGCTCTGCTATTCTGCATCAAATTTACAGACCTTGTTCATGCTGAGGATTTTAGACAGAAAGTGAAATAACATGGAAATACCTTAACTGACGTCCTGCCTCAATCTTTATGTCTTTCTCTGGAGCCTGATTTTCTGGTGAAACAGTTCCCTGAAGAGTGATGTGGAAATGGGCATGGAATACTGTGAAACTGGGGAGAACACCCTTGTGAAGAAAAGCCTAATTCCCTTCCATTTAGTGTAATTTTGAACCAGGGAGGCTGAACATGCAATGGTCTCAGGAGGAACCCCACTTGCTCTTTATTACAGAGTATTTGCAGCAGGGTCTACCTGCCTGTAATCTCAGGCAGACAGACTTTCTCAGCTGCTACTGCACTGGGATGTGTTTGAGTCACAGTTTCCCCGCTCTCTACAGAGCGACAATGTGCATTATCGATTTTGACAGTATGCTCTCAGAGCTGGAATAAAAAAAGAATCTAAACAGCTTCGGAAGAGCAACAGGACCCTCTTTTTTTCATTTTTAAAACACAGAAAATGAGTGCCTACATTCTGATGGCCCTCCACAGATGATTTTTACCTTACCATTTTCTTTAACCTATCAGAACTCTTGTCTCCACTGAAATAATCACAGCACCTTGATTTTGTACTTGCTCTTCTCCCAGCTGATATATTCTTTGATTTCCCATGCAGTCCCTTTCAAAGATGTCTATACTAGGAATACTTCCTCCAGTAGACTTAGGGCTTAAGAAAACCCCACAGCTTGGTTTTTAATGCCCTGGGACCGCTGCTTAAAGTAAAGCTAAAAGCTGCCTGAGTTGGCCTTTTGTTTATAGAACAAGATACTGGCTCTGTTGGAGCGGCAAAGCTCCCTTTTACTTCTGTTAGGCCACTGTTTATCCTTAGCCCATAAGCTTTCTTGAGCAAGAGCTAATTTTTGTTATAGGTTTACAGAGCACTTAAAAGAGAATCCTTTTCCTGATGGGGTCCACTCATCACTGCAGAAAACAAATTATTGTTAGTAAACAAAAACAAATCTAGTACTAATGAAAAGCCCTAGAGCAGAAATGGCTGCACTTCTTCATGGAGCTGTGCTACTGTGCTGCTGCTCTTAAGGGTTTGGTTTTTTTTAATGCTTTAAAAGCAGCTACAGTTTTTTTTTTTGTTTTTTTGTTTGTTTTTGTTTTTTTTTTTTTTTGGTATCTAGTTGATGGAGCTCTGGAGATCATGCTAAACTTGATACAGATTCTCTAGGATCTTACATACCCTATTCCTTTGCCATTATGCTGAGATTCAATTGAGTACTTTAGGGAGGCTAGACCAGCCCCCAAGACGTGTTTGTTTACTGGATATACCTGGACTCAGTTCTATCAATGGCTGTTCTGGCAAGATCCTGTACAGTAGACACTTCCCTGACTATGTTGACATACAGAATATTTTGGCCTATAAAAAATGCACGTTCCCTTTTATAGTGTTACTAGGGAACTATTCATCTCAAGGAAAAAGCAGAATTAATTGGTTCAAAATTAAGAGCTGAATGATTCTTTTATTATTATTAGGCTTTGGATATTACAGAGTTCAGGCTCCAGCTGGCAGTATAAAAAAGAGTGGGTTTATGTTTTGTTTTGTGCCACTGCAGATCCGAAGTTAGCTATGAGAGATTCTGGGTATGGGGAACATAACTGGGCAACCATTTGTGGAAAGCAGCAAGATCCACTTGGACTCAAATCTCGTATCTGATTGTTTTTAGCACTTTTACCACCAGGACATAACAGATGTTGGTTCTGTTGGAAGCAGTGTTAGTAGTCAAATGCCTTTCCTTCAGGTGAATAACATTTGGGGATGTTAGCACAAAAACCCCTCAAACAGCCAAAAAAGCAAACAAACAGGTGGCATACGACAAAGCTGTTTTCTGTGCCATGGCTAAAATGTTCCAAATTTCAAGATTGGTTGGAGAATTAGGAATGTCAGGGTATTTTTTTCCTGAGAAGCCAGCTGAACGGCAGCTTGCCTAGAAATCAGCAGAATCCCAAGGAACTGGTACAGGTCTGGCACTTCCATTTTAAAAAAAGTCTGCTAGAAAAAAGGAAATAAATGACCTATGACATACACAAACATTTTGTCTATGCAACTATAAAGGCTATGTAGTTTGACCTGTGTGTCATAAAAGCCACAAAAAGATCCAAGCACTTGGATTATGCAACAGCTATTTGGTTTTTCTTTTTTACGTTCAACAATTCAATAGAAGGAAGAAATGCCTTTGATGGCCATTCGTAAGTAATGCTGATTACTGGCCTCCTACGAGCTTGATGAAGTCCAGAAAATCCATCGTTGACTGATGCTTTCCCTGTGCAAAATCGGATTTTTGTATTTTGCTAATCCCCGGTTACAATCTGTGTCCTGCTCTTTGTGATCCACCCTGCAATCAGAAGCCAGCCAGCCCAGATGTAACCCAGGACATTAATATAAAATCTTGACGTTGGAAACACAGCATTTTTTAGCGTAAATCTTAACTACGTGAGGGAGGTGTTTACTGTGCGGAAACTTTGGGATTTGTCTGGAGTGTTTCCTTGGGCTGAGGAGTACAAGGAGCTTTCACAGGCAAAGCGGCAAACTGGAAGTGGCCTGGAGCTGACACGCTGGAGCACTCACTGCCTGGGCTGGATGGTTTTCTTGCTCTGAGGAGCAGGACGAGGTTGTAGGAGATGCTCCTGTACATCCTTTGGATCTTTTTCTTGGTAACAATGAAGGCGAGAGGGGAGCTGCCATTCATTGCAGAAAACAACGCGGCTATGATGGTGAACTGGTAAGGAAAAAAGTGTCTTTACTCTTTAATGGGAGATAGTGTATTCATTCTTTTTCTGCAAAAGTGACTGCTCTCTTTATATGTTTCTCTTGACTTTATGAATCTTTGCTTTAGCAGCAGCTTTGCATCTCCTGAAATGGGCAAGGGAGGGGGTGAATGTCTGTAGGATGGAGATGGCAGTCAAATTTGTGGCTGCCCAAGGCAAGCCTTCCCTCATTTTGTGTCCTTTCTGGAGCACAAGTGGAAAGCTCAGATGTCCCCTCTTTATTTGGACACAAAGTTTTATGCATCTTTATGTTTCGGTCCAACTAACTTTGTGCGCAATTGTACGTGTACCTGTTCTCATGTCTCCTAAATTTCCTTCAGATGGTAAAAGGTTCCTAATTTAATCTATACTTTGTACTTTGACCTCCAGAACTCTGCCCATCATTTTTCACCGGGGACACAGTATATCACCAGCAGACTCTGTTGGGCCTTGCCTGCAGGATTTGCTCCCAGGCACGTTGCCACAGGCTGCCCCTTTCCCCAGCCCAAGCCCCTGGCAACCACCAGCAGTGGAAATCCTCCTTTTCTTCATGGCAGGCTATTTCATTTCCACCTCTACCCCCTCCCTGTGCTGGATGCCACTAATGCTCTCCAGTGGAGTGCATTGTGTAACCTGGTTAAGCCCCCATCCCACTGAGTGCACGTGATCCCTTGTCCCAGCCTCGACCCCCCCGGAGCCCCCCCCACCAATGCACACCCAGGGCTGCCCTTGTGTGGGAGCCTTAAGAAGAAGGGGGGCATGGCTCACGTGGATGCCCGGCCTGGGATTAAAGCTTCTTTGCCTCCCTAATGCTGCCACATCTGGCGCCCCTGCTTGCAGCCCAAGAGGGAATGGGAATCCTCGGGGCTTGCACCTCCTCCCTGGCCATGTGGTCCCCCGGACACGCTGCAGAGCTGTGCCATGGCACAGTCTCCCCCCGGCCCCCCATTCCCTTCCCCCCACGCGGTTCCATCAAGCAATCATTTTAAAGTGATGATTGAAACGGATCAAATGCGGGGGTGGTGTGTGCCTCCCAGGGTGGTTCCTCCCACACCAAAATAAGCCAGCAACAGTGCTGGCAGCCTCAGCCAGGGCCATCGCCAAGAAACTGCACGAGGCTTCTCTGGCACTCCTGTAAATGCCAGGAGCTTGGATGCATCTTCAGCCACAGCCTTGCAATATACCTAAAGCCAGCATTTAACCCTCTCAGTGTTTAAATGCCTCTGCTAACTGGCCATGAAGCTGCACAGGATCTCCCTAGCACTCCACATCCCACCGGTGCTTCCCTAGCCTTATTGCAAAATAACCAGAGCCTGTGAATCTCCCCTCCTGCTCCAGCCATCAGCAACTGTGGGATGGAAATATTCCCCCTACCTGTACTGGTACTGATGTTTTCCGTGCCCACAGTTTGTCCCATCAGGTGGTACTGGTTAAGTCGTGAGCCATCTTCGGCCACCACCACAGACGTTGTGGTGCTGTTAGTCCACACATAGATCACTTCAGAATTGGGGTAAGCATCTGCCAACAAGGGGGAAAAAAAGACAGTAAGGAGTAAAAAACACTGTGTAATATTTTAGTGGATCCTTAAATGATAATGACAGGGGGAGAGAAGAATGGAGGAGTGAGAGTGAATGGAGAAAAACAAATAAAGATGATATAATCATGGTCCCATATGCCCTGCTCAAAAAATATTAGGTTGAAGCCTTCTAATATAAGAGATGTGTGGGATGGTTTGTGAAAGGCTGGAACAGTGGAGGTATAAATATAATCCATCACAACCGCTCATTTTGGGAAAGAGCAGCTCAGACCTATACTCACCTCACTGGTGGCTCCTAAACCCCAGCAAGCTGCAAAAGGTACTTTGCTGAAGTTTCCCTTCAAAAGGACTCAGACACCTTGAATGCCAGGACAACAGGGACTCTCTGTGTCTTGTCCTGTCTCCAGGGTAGAATTCTAAGTGATGCCATGTGCAGGTGCTGGGTCTGGTCTGTACGCACTGACTGGAATACGTACGTGTGGGTGAGGGCATAGGTCCTGCACGTGGATAAAGGCAGCTGGAATGTGCCTGCCCGTGCCTGTGATGCTGAAGAGCAGACACAGGATGCAGGGGTGAGAATGCAGGAAGGAGAGCAGGAATGGGGCAGGGAGCTGCGAGGAGAGGGTAGGTGTTTGTGCATAGCAGAATGGGTGGTGGTGTGAAAACACCTGCACAACTGCAGATGTGTTTGTGACTTCTCCCGTGTTCATTTAGAGGTCCTAGGAATTAAATGTGGTTGCAGTACTGCCAACTCATTCCTTCCTCTCTAATGCTGCTGTAACTTTTAATGCTCTAACACCCAGACTGATCATAGTATTATACAGAAATCTCAGTTTTCTTTTACAGTCAGTGCTAGGTTTAGATTTTAAGCCTTCTCTGCAGATGGTCTCAAAAACTCCAGTAAACAACTCTATATTTAGTTATATTTAATGTAAATAGCTCTCACACTTTTTAGAACTCCTCTATCATTGAAAGCTTTCAGGTCACATTCCTTCAAGCATGTTACAGTAGGCTAGAGTACATTGTACTAAGATCTCTGGAAAACAGGCATGGCTTACTCTCCAAATGAAAGGTGAAAAGCAGTGGAAGCGGTCTGAAGTCAAGTATCTCACCTTCTGCACTTTTTAACTTGGAAGATGTGAGTGCAAAATGTTCCTTTCTGGAAAAATCCTGACATCCTAGTTCAGGAGACAACACATTGTGGCTTTCCAGATCAGGATTTGAGAGTCAAGGACAACAGGCTAGGCTGAAGGATGTGTACTCACTCAATCAGACAGTGTGTTTTGTTTGCTAGAGCAAGTGAGCTGTCTTGGAAAGGTGCAGCTCCATGGAGGACTTAAAAAAATTAATAGGCATTGGATCATAGGCAGTGGGTCAACATGAGCCTCTGAGGCACTGCAAGGGCAAGAAATATGGTAGGGTGGTTCCTGGATCCATAAAGCCAGGAATGTCAAGCATAAAATGGGAAGCAATCCCAGTTCAGGCTAAGATCACATGTGTAGCACAATGAACTTCACTTGAACGCTGAACCAGGGAAGAAAGCAGCACCTTCTTTGCACTTTGCACATTGTTAAAAATGTTACTGTGCTGCATGTGGGAGGCAGGGCACTAGGCTAGATACACCTTTGCTCTGACTGTTTATGGCTTTTCATCCATACCTCAGAAAATACATAGAAATAATGAGGGCAGAGAGGTGGAGAGTTCAAAAGAAGGTTACAAGTACCTCCAGGGACCGGAAAATAAGTCATGATTTGAAACTTAAGCAGCTCAGCTTATTCAGCTCACTGACAAAAAGCTGAGACGTAGCTCAAGCTCTGACTATAGATACTTGCATACAGAAATCAGAAACCAGGGTGAATCTCTTGGACTACTCACAAAAGGTGCCTGAAAGATGGTTCCAGGCAGATTCAGATGAAGAACAGGGCAGAATTTCCTAACTGGATGGGAGGCAGTAATTATACAGTGGATAACCTTCTGAGAAAAAACAATTAAGAACTAGTGTCACTAGGAAGACAATGATAATTTGAAATCTTTTTTTGTTATGACAGTTCCTGCTGTATCCAGGGCTGGAGCTGATCCTGGGTTTGGAAGTTGAGAATCTACAAATATTTCATCCTTTCCTAGCCACTGCCAGGACTGCCCACATGCCTTCCTTACACTTTATGTATTTGCAGTAAAATTACTGTAATTACATGTTGTGATCTGCTTTGAAAGGCTAAGAAGGAATGTCTTCCCTGTTTCAAAATATTTGCATCACAAAATGTCATGGCATTTCACCTTTCCTTCAGAGCTGAGATACTTTATTATCTCTGAGATGATTACAAGTTCACAACGTACTGTAAATAATTTCAAAGCCAGATCTGGAGAAGACAAGCAGGAAGAGATGGGTTCACTTTAAAAAGTGATGGAGAAAGCCCTCCTTTTTTAAATGCTTATCTGGTGTATGTTGTTCATGTGCTGGTTATCCCCAGGGAATGTGGCATTTGTTTAGGTAGATTTGAGACTGTCAGAAAATTTGATTTTTACCTATGCTACTTCCTATGCAAAGAAAAACTCCTAGTAACATTGGACTTTTTTTAAATTATTTTTCTGGGATGATCTCAATGTATCCCAACTCAGCAGTTCCCTGTCTCTGCAATGATCCCAACTACCAGGACAAATTCTCTTCTGATGATGATACACATTAATTCATCCTGACTAGATGCTTCCCACTGCGAGTACTGTAACCAAATTCACTGAAACTGCAATCACACAGGAATTTAGGCCTGTAGGGCTGAACAAGAATTCAGATGCTTTGGTTCCCTCCTCTGCCTGGCCTGCGGGGCAGGGGAGTCCAAAAATTATGCAACAGCCCTGCTGTGAATTGCAGCCTTTGCTGGGTGCTAAAACATGTGCAGTGGATGGAACAGGGTCTGGGGCTCCAATGCTGCAGGAGTCCAGCAGCTCCTCTTGTAAAATACCTGCAATTCAGACAGAGCCCACAAGGTGCCGAAACTCCAGATCTCACGGGTACGCCTAAGCAATACTTCATGAGGCTGTTTTCTTTTGAAACCATGTCAGGGAAGGGGGATGCCAATCCCAGGCCAGCTGTGGTGAGGAGAGAGAGCATTCAGACAGGCAAGAGCACAGCACGAGGCCAGTCCCTGCCTGGAGGAAGACCCTAGTCTGTAGGTGCTTTCTCACAGGATCTATTGTGAGGCTACAAGACAGAGAGCCTGTCACTGTGTCACTGCTACACAGGAGTAGAGTATCCATGGGAGAAGGGACAATAGCTCACCTAGAAGAGACTCTTGTGCAAGGGCAGGATGGTTATAGCCAGGGCTTTAAGACACAATTTTAAAATACAAATGTGTTCTTGTGGAGCCCAACCCAGATCAATGCAACCTGCTGTGATTTTACCTCCTCAGGAGAAGTCTGTCACATTAGAATAGCATGAATTTACCCCAATCTAGATATATTCTGTTGTGACGGATCACGTATATGATATGATCCTCATCTATCTTCCATGCAAACATAATAAAACATGGTTTGTGTTTTAAGAAGTTCTAATACAAGATTTTGATTTCGTGCCTCCTTTCCTTACCGCACATCAAGTTCTGACAGGAAAAAGCCACTAGATTCTCCTTGGTTGGCACCTGACCATCTCTTTTCTGGTCATCTAGATAAACCTCCAGAGGGGTAAGCCTGTGGACTTTTAGCAGGTAGCTTTCTTCCTACTGCAAACTTTGTGATATATCTTCACAGAAGCCTCAAACTCCAATTATCTCCAGTTATTGACAACCACAAGCTCCAGCTCTGTGGCTGATAACCCTTGCAGTATAATTAGGCATAGTCACATTGAAAGCTGACACTGTGGGTGTAGTATAGAATGATGTTATTTTGCTATCAGGGTAGAAGTACTAATGGAGACATGGTATTATTAATTGTCATACCAAATTTTGTAAAAAAATTTTCTTCCACTAAAGCAAAGCTTCCAGTAGGTTGCCTACTAGCCTTATTGCTGGAGCACTGAAGAGCTTCAGGTCATGCTTGTTTAGAGATAAGAGAAAAGTGTACCAATAAAAGGAAATATATCATCTCCTTTACATTACACACAGGGTGGGGATGTCTCCCAAAGGGTGATAGGAAAATGTATTTGCAGCTCTGGGATAGCAAGCTGAGAAAATGATCCTGGTAGTTTTGCAAAAGAAAACTCAACTTCAAAGCCACTGCAAATCCAAGTGAGACTTCTTGGTGTTTATTCTACTCTAATCAAGTGCATGTCTTCTGGATTTATGAGTCCAAATAAGTAATCTTGTGTACTTTACAATCATCCTGTTGTCTTGTCAAAGAAAGGAGGAGGCCTCATTAAAGTATCCTTTCTCTTCTACACTCACTTTGAAAAAGGAAAAAAAAGGTAGCAGTTGAGATGAACAGCTAAAATTACAAATAAGTATAATGTTATTAAATGTGAGAAAATGACAACAGACATTTATTTTTACTGGACAGTTGATAAATGGCTACAGGCTTATCACCTACCAGAATGATGAAAGAAATAATATCTTCTCTTACATTGACAAGCAGATCTATTTTTTCTACATTCTAGCATCCAACATACACCACACAATATAAAAACAGTGAAGATGTCCCTTGTTCTTCTCCCACACTTTTCCTGCTCCTGTATGTCTGGCAAGGAAAGCCAGACATGGTCTTTCTTGTGCCAGTGAAGAGTGGGCAGGGGAGAGATCACAACCAGAGAGGAATTACATTAAGAAAAAGTCCAGCAAAGCACAACAGTAAGTGGGTAAGACCTGGAGCATCCCAGACATTTGCCTTGGCATTGACAGCCCTGTCTTCATTTACAAATGAAACAATCTGAGCAGTGCAGAATCCCCCCCTTCCATTCAAAAAGCAACTCAAAAGCAGGGAGTTTTCTCCTTACAGTGCCCCCACCACAGGGGCTACTGAGAGACACTCTCCTTCTTGCTTTGCTTTCTCCTCC